GCAGCCGACAAGTCCTGAATACCCGTTCTTCCCTGTTCTTTTTTCCTTCCAGCAGTCCTCATGTGTGTGCGTGCGTGTCTTCCTCCTTGGTCTTGTCTCTGTCTGATGTGCTCAGTAACACGGGGAAGCATCATTTGTGTTTGAACAGTCCCAAAGTGTCTGTGATGTCCAGCAGGTTTCTCTCATTCACCACCACGCCGTTCCCGTGCAGCCCACCACCATTCATTTCTCCTCCCAGGGTAGTGCCAGTCCCCAAGCTCCTGCCATGCTTCCCCCTCCATGCCTGCCTGCTTCTCTCAGCTCCAGGTACTCTCCGTCAGGAACTCTTCCCAGCGCGCCCGCTCTCTGGAGGTCTCGCCGTGTCTCTGGGAGAAGCTTTTGACCTTTCTAATGGATATTTTTTCAGGCTTATACGATAGGGTGGGGCTTTGGGTCCCTAGGATGTTGGGAACGTCCAGTTTTAAAATCACTGCACAGAAAATGAAGGAGGTTAAACACGTTCACTGGATTGATTTGTGTGGGTTGGAAGTTCATTTCAGCTCGAATTGGTGTTTACTGGATCTAGGAGTGTGTCCTGTTATTTTAAGCTGATGTTTTGTAAGGTCTCAGATGTATCAAGCCTTCTGAAGTACTTGGAAATGAAGCCCCGTGTTGTGGGTCTGTTTTGTTGGCTTTGTGCTCCCGCAGTAGACTTTTAATGCTGCCAGGCCCAGCTGCTTGAAAACTGTTTTGTCAGGCTCCCAAAATCATGCTCAGTATAATCAGGAGCGTTATTTTTAGGGGTGCGTTCCGCTGTGTTTCTGGTGGTTGGCTGATCAGGGGCCCATTCCCCAAGTTCTCCCCCCAGGGAGGGTGGCAGGGACACCTCTCGGTCCCGGGTCCCCACGCCGTGGGGTCCTGGGGCTGGATGCCAACCAGAAGCCGAGCACGCCGGCGAGGCTGCCCACTGGTTTCACGCGCCGGCGAGTCTGCCGCCTGTTTTCCTGCCCTGCTTTGCCACCGTGGAGCTTTGCTGGAGGTGCGACCGGCCTCTGGGGCTGGCATGGAAGGCACAGTGTTGTGCCTGGCGAGGCTGGCAGCCTTGGGGCAGGGGAAGGCTGGGGGCAAAGTGGGGTGGCTGGGCTCTGCTGGGCTCCTGACGCAGCTCCTGGGCTCTCTACAAACCCTTCCCTGTCCCTTGCTGAGGCTTCCCGAATTCCTAGGGTGAGCAGAGAGCATCATTTCCACCACGTTCCGTGGAGCGAGGCAGTGGGCAGTAGGATGTGGTCCCTACCCATCTGCCGTTCCTCTCTCCATCTTACTCTCTTCTATTTTAGCTTTCCCCCAGCTTCTCTTCCTCCAGGCGAGGCCAGCAGATGCAGATGTCTGCTTTCAGGAGCTGCATCCCTGTGGAGTAGGAGCAAACAGAGCCTGTCAGCTGGGGGGAGTAAGCTGAAGCTGGGGCTCTGTCTGCCGAAGCCCAGGGTTTCCAAGTCCTCATGACAGCTCCAGGCTGCCCTGTAGCAAAGCACCACGAGGTGTGGGCAAGCCTTCAGCCTCCCCGTCAGCTCAGGAAAGCATCTCCTCTCTGAGCTCAGTGCTACCCCTGGGGAAGGAAGCGTGTCCTCCTCCGTGTCACCCGCTTGGACTCAATGCAAGATGGGAAACGGGCGTCGAAACGGGGACGGGGTGGTGATGTTGCTTGCCAGCCTGTGTGTCCCAGACAGGTCTTCCCAGCTTGAGCACCGCTGGTGCTGCTAAATCCTCTCCCTGGCCAAGGCGTCCTTGGGACGGGCTGGGACAGGGCTCTTGGGACGCTCGGCACTGAGCAAGACCAGGGACCGAGGGAGCTACAGGCTCTGCATCCAGCACCCAATGAGGGGAGCGTGGCAAGTTCATCCACGCCTCTGTGCTGTGAGGATGCAGGCGATGCATTTCAGGAGGACAGGGCTAGACTTTTCAGTGGTGCCCAGCGACAGGACAAGGGGCAACGGGCACAAAATGAAGCAGAGGAAGCTCCAGCTGAACACGAGGAAGAACTTCTTCCCTCTGAGGGTGACAGAGCCCTGGCCCAGGCTGCCCAGGGAGGCTGTGGAGTCTCCTTCTCTGGAGATATTCCAGGGACGTGGTGCTGTGCAGCCTGCTCTGGGTGACCCTGCTTGGGCAGGGGGTTGGGCTGGGTGACCCACAGAGGTCCCTTCCAACCCCTACCATTCTGTGATTCTGTACATGGAGCTGGGGAGGGGGAGGAAAAGAAAGAGGCCGTTAGTACGGTCGCGGTGTCTGAATCCCTCGCACGTACCCGTCTGATGAACTCTGAGCTCTGCTGCTGCCTTTTCCAGCAGCAAGGCAAAGGAGGCAAAGCCAAACAAAACAGTCCAGCCCTGGTTTTTAACCCTTCGCTAATTTTTACGCTGTGATGGGGCAGCTGAGGAAGGAGGGATGGGATGAGACCGATGTGGACAGGAGGTGGAGGGAAGGTGTCTGTAGTTGCATCTCTCTTTTCCTCGCTGCCTCTCTCTGCTCTCTTTCTCCCTCCGCTCTCTCTCTCTTTCCTTTTTCGTCTGTGTCTTGTGTTTTACAGTGTTGCCTGTTTGGAGGAAGGAATTGTGTCCTCGCAGCACCCTTCTGCTCCCTACCCGGACATCTCTGCTAGGAGGTCGGCTTTCTCCCCTTCTCCGTAGCCAGTGGCAGTCCTGGCCTCTTCTCACTACTCCCCTCCTCTCTAGTTTTGCTTGAGAGCCCCTGGGATGGAGAGATTGCCCTGGGTTTGCTCCCATCCCTCGCCCCAAACACTTCCCGCTGGAATGGAAATGCCTTGCAGTGGGGTCTTGTCCGATGCTTGCTGTGGCTTGACCCTTCGAGGCAAAGGAGAGTGGGAGCAGAGGTGGGTGCTGTGAGCCCCCCGCTCCTTAGCAAGCACCTCCTCGGCTGATACCTCAG